TTCTAGAAAACACATTTTTTTGGGGGGAGATCCCCCAAACCCCCCTTACAGGGAGGGGGTCTGTACCCTCCCCCTCCTCGCGCTACGCGCTCGGGCTGCTGCCTTTCGCAGCACACCGTTGACTATTGAGAAAAATTTCTCGGCCCCGCCTTTTAGGAAATCCTGGATCAGCCCCTGACCACCCAGACATTATAGACAGATAGTACCCCCCAGACATTATAGACTCCTATATTTCACTAGTGGGTCAGTGACTAACTACGGAACAATGGATGGTATAACATTTGTTTACAAAGATTGTGAAAAATGACGCTAATGGTAATAAATCCTTTCAAATGATAACAAACAATATTATATTTTCAGGACCAAACCAACTTTTTCAAGAGCTGTAACTAAAGCCTCAGGAGGTAGGTCAAGATTATTGTTTACATTATTGCATGGGTCCCCCTTCACTAAAATGACATGTTGTTTGATACATTGTTGTACATTACACTGTTATACATTGTTGTACACTGTTATACATTGTTGTACACTGTTATACATTGTTTATACACTATATCTTGTGATACCCTATTTTACCCTGGTATACACTGCAATGCAGTGTTATACTGTATTATATGATAACATGTTGTAGATAGCTTTACACTGTAATACTGAAAATGTACTTATTTTAGTTGACTCGAATTTTAGCGTATTATTAAATTTTAACAGATTAGTGCATTGATGAATTGGCACACTCACAATACATGTAATAAAAGTTATATACAAAAACTTCAATTATAGTGCAGTTATGATTTAGCGCAATATCTAGTGTTGAAAAAGCACTAAAATTAGAATTCCACTAAAATATATACTTTTGCCATATAATGGTATAAATGTGCATTGTAATATACTATTATACACTGTATTGTCGGATACAATGTTATATTTACTGTAATACACTTTCACACAATATCATACAAAATGATACTACTCTGTAATAGAGTGACACACTTTTATACAAAATGACATGTTTTTTCTCACATAGCACCACTTTGCTTTGATTTTGAAACAAACAGTATTGCTGTTCAGAGCTTAATTAATTATTTTGTCTGACGAGATTAAGTCAAAGTAAAAAAACAATCTTCACACTTCTGTACATTTGAATTATTAAATATATTCAAATAACACTTTCCAAAAAGATTGATTGGGTATGTGATATAATCTAGCTTGTTGATTAATGTTGTATTGGGATGGAGTTCCCGACAGTAACTGTATGAGCTCTGATCTTTGTATTATAAACTGATTAGATGTGAGCTCTGATATTGCATGTTTCTGTAACCAGAACTGATAAAGTTCCTCCATCATAAACCTATATGCATGCAAACTAAGTTTGATAGCCTACTAAATGTCACTTTGTAGTTGAAGGGTTAATGCCCTTGGTTATTCACAACTAACCGGTGTGAGCACCACCTATGTTTTGTTAGATTACGAGGATGAATTAGTGGACCTGAAGAGTGACGACTCTGACAATGAAGGTAAACTAGTATCACTTACCTGCTACTTTGCTTGGATTTATTTGCTGGTGCTTTGTTTTAGCTCTGAATTGTTTAGAGTCATTTGGATAAATAGTGACGATTTCAGTTTTAAAGCTTAATATTGTTTAGTTGATGTTTTTTCATGCATTTGCTAACTTTTTTTGTAGAAATTAAGTTTATAATAACTCTTTTATTTGAAGAAATGAAAATGATATAAAATGCCTTTAACTGATTAATGAACTAATTTGAAAAACAATCATCACAGATAGTTATTACTGACCTTATTTTAGTAGTTTTTAATAGAAATTTAAACATTCTGATGCTATATTGTTTTTCCTAACTGAAGACATATAACTAATTGTTATGAAATGATTCTTTCTTAACCTAATACTGATGACAGTTACATAAACAAACCATACATTATAATAGATGTACCATTGATAAAAAAATATCCCAAAAGGCTCAGAATAAGCTAACTATACATTATTGTAGAGGTCTAAAATAATGGGTGTCACAGATAGTGTAGGGTGGGAGTGGGTGTCGTAGAAAGTGTAGGGTGGGAGTGGGTGCCACAGATAGTGTAGGGTGGGAGTGGGTGTCGTAGATATTGTAGGATGAGGGCGGGGGGTACAGATGGTGTAGGATGGGAGGCGGGGCATAGTTGGTATAGGCTGGGGGCAGGGGGTACAGATGGTGTAGGATGGGGGCAGGGTTGGGTACAGATGGTGTAGGATGGGGGCGGGGGGCACATATGGTGTAGGATGGGGGCGGGGCACAGCTGGTATAGGATGGGTGCCAAAGATGGTGTAGAAGGACCTTTACCTTCCAAAGTACCTTGTGTTTGTCTCCATGTTTTTTTCATTAATTTATGAATTTTATGTGATAGCTCATCTTTCAATGTCAACTTTATGTTCAGTTTTTGTCCTTATGTGTGGATAATATTGTATATTTGTTTACTATCTTTATTTTGGTATTGAGTATTACCAATATTTTGCTGTTTATATAAGACAGTTATCATTTTTACTATTATACAACCTTTGATGTAGTGGCATATCTAGTTAGAATTTACCAAACTCAGGCATCACTATGTGTATAGATATACAATTCCTACAATCAATGAAGATGGGTGAGTATGATAAATAATGATTATGTATGTGAAATAGCTTGAATGATGAAGGTAAAGGTAAAGATCCCAAGGTCACTGCATTAAAAGACATAGTAACACAGAGTTGAAAGCAGCCTTTCATCAAGCTTTGTTTTCATGTAGGTCTTGGTCTTAATCCTGGGCTTATATAGTGATGTAGCTTGATATAAGGCAGCATGGAACCAAAATCATAGCATAGTTCATGGATCTTCTGGTAGTTTCATTAATACAAATATTGAAACTGCTTAGAGATTATTTAAGAAACAAGTCAGCCTTTTATAGAGACCGCATGTGTGATCTTGTTGATTAATTGCTTATTTACACTGAAATTGGCCAAATGCTTAAATATTGGTTAGTATCAAAGTTCAAGGGGCATGCTTTTTAGTTGTGTGCCATTTTTCTTTCAGAAAACTAATATAAAAAATACTTTTGCCTGTTACATAGGCTTTTTGTTCAACAATTTTTTTCTAGTTTAGATTTAGCTGGATATACATGTTGTTAACAACTCCAGTATAAACATATATTTATCCAACATTTCATTTACTCATACAATTACTCTGTATTACCTGTTTCTAGTTCATTAATTTTTCTGTCGTATTAATCATCAGGGTCTTGTTTTAGTTCATTGGTAACACTTCATTCTATCTCAATATTTCAAATTTTCACTTTGTTATCAGGTGTATGTTAAATGGTTGAATTGACTTTGTATTATTTTCCACTATTCACTAACAAGAGTCTGGCAAGGGTTAGCGAATGTCTTCATAGTTTAATCTTGTCTACATGGTATAGTCTACATTGAAATTGTTTCCTTCACAACCATGTAGTCTGAGTTTCTTAAACGCCACAAAAAACAATTACACTGGTAATTGGGAATCATTATGTCTTTTTTATATAAAAAATCATGATATTTTGGTTTAGAAAAAGCTGAAAGTAAATCACCTCTCATTAATCATTATAAAGAAGTTTACAACTGCGATGTAATTACGGATATATAACTACTATAAGCATATTGTAACAATATGATTTTATTATCATAATTCTTTTAATAATTAGTAATAAGTTTGTATGTTTTTCAAGGAAAATTTATTTGTGTACTGATAAGTTGATGATTTTTTTAATATTATATGGTAACTCTCGTCTCCTGCAGTAATGCATATAGCTGCTGTATTTTACCTGTACATGTACTAATAAACTGTAAGTGCTGTATTCTTACATGCCTGTATAACGACTGTAAGTGCTATATTTTTACATGTCTGTATAACGACTCTAAGTGCTGTATTTTTACATGCCTGTATAATGACTGTAAGTGCTGTATTTTTACATGCCTGTATAATGACTCTAAGTGCTGTATTTTAACATGCCGGTATAACGACTGTAAGTGCTGTAATTTTACATGCCTGTATAACGATTGTAAGTGCTGTTTTTTTACATGCCTGTATAATGAATGTAAGTGCTGTATTTTTAGATGCCTGTATAACGACTGTTAGTGCCGTATTTTTACATGCCTGTATAACGGCTGTAAGTGCTGTATTTTTACGTGCCTGTATAATGACTGTAAGTGCTGTATTTTTAGATGCCTGTATAACGACTGTTAGTGCTGTATTTTTACATGACTGTATAACGACTGTAAGTGCTGTAATTTTACATGCCTGTATAATGAATGTAAGTGCTGTATTTTTATATGCCTGTATAATGACTGTAATTGCTGTATTTTTACATGCCCGTATAACGACTGTAAGTGCTGTAATTTTACATGCCTGTATAACGGCTGTAAGTGCTGTATTTTTAGATGCCTGTATAACGACTGTAAGTGCTGTATTTTTAGATGCCTGTATAACGACTGTAAGTGATGTATTTTTACAGGCCTGTATAACGACTGTTAGTGCTGTCTTTTTACATGCCTGTATAATGACTCTAAGTGCTGTATTTTAACATGCCGGTATAACGACTGTAAGTGCTGTAAATTTACAGGCCTGTATAACGACTGTTAGTGCTGTCTTTTTACATGCCTGTATAATGACTCTAAGTGCTGTATTTTAACATGCCGGTATAACGACTGTAAGTGCTGTATTTTTAGATGCCTGTATAACGACTGTAATTGCTGTATTTTACATGCCTGTATAACGGCTGTAAGTGCTGTATTTTTACATGACTGTATAACGACTGTAAGTACTTTAATTTTACAGGCCTGTATAAAGACTGGAAGTGCTGTATTTTTACAGGCAGTATGTGGAGCAAGATCAAGCCTAAGAACAAGAACAGGGAGTACTCGGGGCTGAAGTGGGAGAGAGTCAAGGTGGGTGATCATAGTTCAAGAATCACTATAATGATTACCAATCTAGTTCAGTTGTCTGTCTAATTGCAGTATAACGTTTGTCTGTCTGAGAATAAAAGTAATGTCTGCACTAGTGTTTTACACTTACTTACACAATACTTGAAGAATTTAATAGAACTTGAATATGCAGCTAACAGTTAAATGCTTTCTCTGAGGGTAATTGCTTGTGTCTTTTAACAATAGGGCTTTAGTCTGCAAAATTACAATGTTCACTTATGAGCCACAGTCTTTTAAAATAAATACAAGTTGAACTTGAAGAAAATAAGGGCATTAGCTTCTCTCAGATTGTTACATCTGATGGAATAGCTTTTGCCCACTCAATATCTTGTGTCTTAGGACAGTGTATTATGTATTATGTCAGAGGACAATGTATTGTGTTTGAGTGTAATATCTTGTGACTGAGGGCAATGCATATTGTTAAAGGCATTGTTTTGAGCCTGAATGCAGTGTTTAGTGTATGAAGTTAATGTATTGTGCCTAAGGGTATTGTATTATGTCTAAGGGTCATGTATTGTGCCTAAGAGTATTGTATTATGTCTAAGGGTCATGTATTGTGTCTGAGGGTATTGTATTATGTCTAAGGGTCATGTATTGTGCCTGAGGGGATTGTATTATGTCTAAGGGTCATGTATTGTGCCTGAGGGGATTGTATTATGTCTAAGGGTCATGTATTGTGTCTGAGGGGATTGTATTATGTCTAAGGGTCATGTATTGTGCCTAAGGGTATTGTATTATGTATAAGGGTCATGTATTGTGCCTGAGGGTATTGCATTATGTCTAAGGGTCATGTATTGTGCCTAAGGGTATTGTATTATGTATAAGGGTCATGTATTGTGCCTGAGGGTATTGTATTATGTCTAAGGGTCATGTATTGTGCCTAAGGGTATTGTATTATGTATAAGGCTCATGTATTGTGCCTGAGAGTATTGTATTATGTCTAAGGGTCATGTATTGGGCCTAAGGGTATTATATTATGTCTAAAGTTCAAGTATTTTGCCTGAGGACAAAGTATTGTGTATCAGGTTGACATATTGTGCCAAAGGATAGTGTATTGTGTCTGAGGACAATGTTTTATGCCTGAGGATAGTGTAATGTGACTGAGGTCAATGTATTGTGCCTGAGGACAATGTATTTTGCCTGAAGATAGTGTATTGTGCCTGAGGACAGTGTCTTATGGCTGAGGTCAATGTTTTGTGCCTAAGGGTATTGTATTATGTCTAAGGGTCATGTATTGTGCCTGAGGACAGAGTATTGTGTATGAGGTTGACATATTGTGCCTAAGGATAGTGTATTGTGTCTGAGGACAATGTATTATGCCTGAGGATAGTGTATTGTGTCTGAGGTCCATGTATTGTGCATGAGGACAGTGTATTTTGCCTGAGGATAGTGTATTGTGTCTGAGGACAGTGTATTGTGCCTGAGGACAGTTCTGAGGTCAATGTATTGTGCATGAGGACAGTGTATTTTCCCTGAGGATAGTGTATTGTGCATGCGGACAGTGTATTGTGTCTGAGGTCAATGCATTGTGTCTGAGGTAATTGTCTTGTGTCTGAGGTCAATGTATTGCGCCTGAGGACAGTATATTGTGTCTGAGGTTAATGTATTGTGCCTGAGGACAGTGTCTTATGGCTGAGGTCAATGTTTTGTGCCTAAGGGTATTGTATTGTCTAAGGGTCATGTAATGTGCCTGAGGACAGAGTATTGTGTATGAGGTTGACATATTGTGCCTAAGGATAGTGTTTTGTGTCTGAGGACAATGTATTATGCCTGAGGATAGTGTATTGTGTCTTACGTCCATGTATTGTGCATGCGGATAATGTATTTTGCCTGAGGATAGTGTATTGTGCATGAGGACAGTGTATTGTGTCTGAGGTCAATGTATTGTGCCTGAGGAAAGTGTCTTGTGTCTGAGGATAGTGTATTGTGCCTGAGGATAGCGTATTGTGTCTGAGGGTAATGTATTATGCCTGAGGACAGTGTCTTGTGTCTGATGTCAATATTATGTTCCTGAGGACAGTGTTTTGTGCCTGAGGATAGTGTATTGTGTCTGAGGTCATGTATTATGCCTGAGGACCAGTGTATTGTGCCTGAGGACAGTATATTGTGTCTGAAGGCAATGTATTGTGCCTGAGGACAGGATATTGTGTCTGAGGTCAATGTATTGTGCCTGAGGACAGTGTATTTTGCCTGAGGACAGTGTATTTTGCCTGAGGTCAATGTATTGTGCCTGAGGATAGTGTATTGTGCCTGAGGACAGTGTATTGTGTCTGAGGTCAATGTATTGTGCCTGAGGACAGTGTATTGTGTCTGAGGACAGTGTATTTTGCCTGAGGTCAATGTATTATGCATGAGGACAGTGTATTATGCCTGAAGACAGTGTATTTTGCCTGAGAATAGTGTATTGTGCCTGAGGACAGTGTATTGTGTCTAAGGTGAATGTATTGTGCCTGAGGATAGTGTATAGTGTTTGAGGTGAATGTATTGTGCCTAAGGACAGTGTCTTGTATCAGAGGTCAATGAATTTGCCTGAGGATAGTGTATTGTGTTTGAGGTCAATGTATTGTGCCTTAAATATAGTGTATTGTGTCAGTGGTCAATGTATTGTGCCTTTGGTCAATGAATTGTTTCTGAGGACAGTCTATTGTGCCTTAGGTCAGTGTATTGTTTCTAAGGACAGTGTCTTGTGTCTGAGTTCAATGTAATATGTCTGTGGACAGCGTATTTTGTCTGTGGTCAATGTTTTGTGTCTGTAGACAGTGTCTTGTGTCTCTGGACAGTTTATTTTGTCTGAGGTCAATGTACTGTGTCTGAGGACAGTGTCTTGTGTCTGAGGTCAATGTATTGTGTCTGGGGACAGTGTCTTGTGTCTGAGGTCAATAAACTGTGTCTGTAGACAGTGTCTGGTGTCTGAGGTCAATGCATTGTGTCTGAGGACAGTGTATTGTGCTTAAGTCAATGAATTGTGTCTGAGGACAGTGTCTTGTGTCTGAGGTCAATGTATTGTGTCTGAGGTAATTGTCTTGTGTCTGAGGTCAATGCATTGTGTCTGAGGTAATTGTCTTGTGTCTGTGGTCAATGTTTTGTGTCTGAGGTAATTGTCTTGTGTCTGAGGTCAATGCATTGTGTCTGGGGATAGTGTCTTGTGCCTAAGGTCAATGAATTGTGTCTGAGGTCAATGAATTGTGTCTGAGGACAGTGTATTGTGCCTAAGGTCAATGAATTGTGTCTGAGGACAGTGTCTTGTGTCTGAGGTCAATGTATTGTGTCTGGGGACAGTGTCTTGTGTCTGAGGTCAATAAACTGTGTCTGTAGACAGTGTATTGTGTCTCTGGACAGTTTATTTTGTCTGAGGTCAATGTACTGTGTCTGAGGACAGTGTCTTGTGTCTGATGTTAATGTAATGTTCCCGAGGACAGTGTATTGTGTCTGAGGTCAATGTATTGTGTCTGTGGACAGTGTATTTTGTCTGAGGTCAATGCATTGTGTCTGAGGACAGTGTCTTGTGTCTGAGGTCAATGTATTGTGTCTGAGGTAATTGTCTTGTGTCTGAGGTCAATGCATTGTGTCTGAGGACAGTGTCTTGTGTCTGTGGTCAATGTTTTGTGTCTGTAGACAGTGTATTTTGTCTGAGGTCAATTTATTGTGTCTGAGGACAGTGTCTTGTGTCTGAGGTCAATGTGTTGTGTCTGAGGTAATTGTCTTGTGTCTGAGGTCAATGCATTGTGTCTGAGGACAGTGTATTGTGCCTTAGGTCAATGAATTGTGTCTGAGGACATTGTCTTGTGTCTGAGGTCAATGTATTGTGTCTGGGGATAGTGTCTTGTGTCTGAGGTCAATGTATTATGTCTGTAGACAGTGTATTTTGTCTGAGGTCAATGTATTGTGTCTGAGGACAGTGTCTTGTGTCTGAGGTCAATGTGTTGTGTCTGAGGTAATTGTCTTGTGTCTGAGGTCAATGCATTGTGTCTGAGGACAGTGTATTGTGCCTTAGGTCAATGAATTGTGTCTGAGGACATTGTCTTGTGTCTGAGGTCAATGTATTGTGTCTGGGGATAGTGTCTTGTGTCTGAGGTCAATGTATTATGTCTGTAGACAGTGTATTTTGTCTGAGGTCAATGTATTGTGTCTGAGGACAGTGTCTTGTGTCTGAGGACAGTGTCTTGTATCTGAGGTCAATGTAATGTGTCTGAAGACAGTGCAATTTGTCTGAGGTCAATTTATTGTGTCTGAGGACAGTGTCTTGTGTCTGAGGTCAATGAATTGTGTCTGAGGACAGTGTCTTGTGTCTGAGGTCAATGTATTGTGTCTGAGGACAGTGTCTTGTGTCTGAGGTCAATGTAATGTGCCTGAAGACAGTGTCTTATGGTTGAGGTCAATGTATTGTGTCTGAGGACAGTGTATTTTGTCTGAGATCAATTTATTGTGTCTGATGTCAAATGCTGGGTTCCTTTTAGTTAGCCTAACAAGCTTTCTATTGTCTCTGTAGACCCTGGTACATAGCAACCTGGTGTCTGTGCGTGCTGAGGAGAGGATGGATGCAGCCAAGGTAAATTGTCATGCAGAAATATCAAAGTCATTCTGTAAAATCTATGAATTAGAACTGTTTATACATTAGGTGTTTAATATTACTGTAAAGTTTTCAATTTGCACTGTAAAACAAAATGATCCATTGTACTGAATACATTCTGCAAAAATTTGCCACATAAGTTATCAGTGGTAGTTTGGCTCCAAGAAAGCTCACTTATCATGGTTTAATTTACTGTTGAAGTATAAACAAGTTATTACAGAAAAGACATTAGATCTCTTGTTTGCCTTGTACAGCATCTGGGCCTGCTGAGGTGTGGTGACACCATGGTGTTCTATGCTCTCAAAGAACGTATGAAGGCAGACGAAGACCAGAGGGTCCGTTACGAATCAGCCAAATCCCTCATCCTTATAGGTTTGTAATATATGTATTTAATGTAAGTGAGTGAAGTTATCATATACAATGTCATTCATGTTTAAGAGATCAGATTTCATCTTCATTATCTGTTTGACGTATAAGGCAGAAGAATATTAGATTGGAAGTATGTTCTACTTTAGCCAGGTTTGGTTTTAATGATGATTAACTTTTTGCTTATTCTTTATCTCTTGTACAGGCTGCTGGGAGGAGGATATACAAATGGTGATAATTAAATACCTGGCTATAGGGAACACCGAGATAAGACTCGACCTGATCCGTACCATGATAGACGGCAAGAACGTCCAGTATGTCAACAAGGTCAGAACTCAACATTTCTACATCACTGGTCCATCACTATACACTAAATGCCACAAATTTCAGGTTGAAATGAGATGCTTCATTTATATTTTGAGATTAGTCTATGTAAAGTGTGTCTAAGTAATATCTTATCTCTCCTGTAACTTATAAGTAACCTTTAATTAGCATTTTAGTTTGAAGTAAATAAAACTGCCAGTTGTGAAAAATATTGTTTTAAAATATATTGTTTTTGTTTTTTGTTGTTTACAGAGTTTGAGTACTTTTCCTGAACTAGTGAAGATGTTGAGCCATTTTTGCCGAAATCCAGACCCTGATGACCAGATTGCACTTGATGCAGCCATCCTCCTGGGAAAGCTTTGTGTGGCGGATAACAATGCCAAGGTCAAACTCAAACTGTCACTGGAATACAACACTGACACACATATCAAAGCCAAGGTAAGAACCACAGGTGTATGAACTAAGGGGGTCAGAACCAAGGAAGCTAGATCAAGGGGGAGGGGGGCAGAACCACAGGTGTATGAACTAAGGGGGTCAGAACCATCAGAACCAGGAAGGTCAGAACCAAGGAAGCTAGATCCAGGGGGAGGGGGCAGAACCACAGGTGTTAGAACTAAGGGGGTCAGAATCATCAGAACCAGGATGGTCAGGTGTAGAACCAGGAATGTAAGAACCATGATGGTCAGAATTGTGATAATTAAACCATCTGGTCAGAACCAAGATGTCAGAATAAAATAGGTTAGATTTGGTTTTGGTATTATTTTGTTTAACATCCTTTCAACAGCTGAGGTCATTTAAGAACGTGCCTCCATGTGTGTTTTGTAAGCATGCATATGTGCCTTAGACAGGGTATGTTGGTGTAGGTTAGAACTACAGGGGTAAAACCACTGAGGAAAGAATGGTGTCAGAACTACAGGGTTATTTATCAGTAGAAATATTTAATCAGTGTGATGCTACTTTCTTATCACTCAACTGTCCTTCTTAAAGATTAGCACCAGACTTGTTATATCTTTTATGTACATCATTTGCTTATACAAATAAAGAGCTTATGACTGTGATATTATAGTATATGTATAATTTATTTTGAGGTTCTGTAACAGAAAAGTAGAGCATGATTCCTTCAAAATCCAAACATTTGAAAACTGGATTTCCCCTCTTTACATTAAGTACCTGATGTGTAAAAAAAAAAAAAAAAAAAATCAAGTTTATAATTTTGAAATAATTTGTGATATCAGACTAACACTGTTACAGTACACTAACATTGTTTACCTCTCTAGTCACTGGAGATATTACAGTAAATAGACTACACTTACATTGTTTACCTCTCTGGTCACTGGAGATATTACAGTACACAAAGTACACTAACATTGTTTACTTCTCTAGTCACTGGAGATATTACCGTACACAGACTACACTAACATTGTTTACCTCTCTAGTCACTGGAGATATTACAGTACACAAAGTACACTAACATTGTTTACCTCTCTAGTCACTGGAGATATTACAGTAAATAGACTACACTTACATTGTTTACCTCTCTGGTCACTGGAGATATTACAGTACACAAAGTACACTAACATTGTTTACCTCCCTAGTCACTGGAGATCTTACAGCAAATAGACTACACTTCCATTGTTTACCTCTCTAGTAACTGGAGATATTACAGGACACAAAGTACACTAACATTGTTTACCTCTCTAGTCACTGGAGATCCTGGTACGCCAGCTCAACTGTACAGACTCGGACATCGTACGAAGCCTCATCGACATGCTACATAAGTCGTTCGTGTGGAAACATCGTGCCTTGGCAGCAGAGCTCCTCATCGTTCTGGGTATGTATAACTATCATATTGTATAGTTAACATCGTTCTGGGTATGTATGACTATCATACTGTACAGTTAACATCGTTCTGGGTATGTATGACTATCATACTGTACAGTTAACAGAGACTAATGTTTACTTGATATCCTGAAAACACTGTCTATTGTTGTTGTGTACTGGTTGTGTATCATGTTTGTCTCATGGTATTGTTCTCTGTTCTCCTCACCTCACTAAATAAAATAGTTAAATAATTATATGTAATGTATAATTTCATGAACTCTGTTCTGAGAAAAATTGCTTATTAAAATTCAGACCAATGAAAAATAAAATTTTACAACAATAATGAAACCAAAATAAAACAGTATTTATTGATCACTCTTGCTAGCCCCGATGGTAGCATGCAAGGAAGTTTTAATGTGGGACGAAAACCAGAGTAACTAGAATGTCTCTCCACATCCAGTCGAGGAATCAAACCCTGGCTGCCTTGGGAAAAACATGTGTGCTATCTACTGTGCCAATATCTGACCACTCCACAATATCTGACCACTCCAACCACTTGAACACAATGTAGCATTGTTTGAATCTCATGTATTGAATACCTGGTAATGTCAAAATTTAAAGCATACATTTGAACCTTTTCTAAGTAATATTTTTATATTTGAAGAATCATAGGTAGGATGTTAGAAATGGCAGATTAATTAGGAAAGCTTTTATTTGTAGGACCGAAATATGTCCTCAAGATCACAGAGGTAGATAGACTGTATGAGATTTTGGAGAGAAGACTGTGGGATGAACCCATTAAGGTAAGAACTGATATCAATACTGCAATATATTTTGTACTAAACACGTGATATTGTTAATAACTTATCTATTACTTTCCACACATCAAAGGTCAACTTATATTGAGGAAGCACTGCCCTACTGACTCACAGGTCAGGTTTTATAGATCCAATCTGTAATACATCTGTATTGATTTATATTAGATTAGAAGTTCGTGAATAAAGATGATGGATGTATGACTTTATTCAATAATCAAAACTTTAACATTTTCTCTTTCAGGAAGTTCGTGTTGCAGCTGCCAAAGCCCTAACTGCCTTAGGTCTGTTTGGAAAGGCTTGTGAGAGAATAGAGAAGTAAGTAAAAACCTCCCCCTGTTTGTAGGGTACACATTAAGGCAGCAGTATGCTTATAGTTTTACTTTTTTTGTAAATGAAATATATATATATATTTTAAAAGTGCCTGTTTGGGAGTAAACTAGGACTAAATCTTTGACAATCTGATGTTATTTTCTTTTAACTTCAACCTGTTTTAATGTGTTTACATGATTTGTGTGATAATATATGACTATGTTGACACAGGAGACTAGAGAACCCGGAGGAGGATGTGAGAGCCCAGGCTGCCATAGCTGTGGTAAGTCCTTATTGAATTCCTTTATAATCCTCTCCAAACATCAGCACTTCCTTATTACTTTATAAAGGCAGAAGTTTAAAACTTTTGGAAAATATTGTAGTAACATGAAGGAAACAAATGAGAATAGATTTGAAATGTTTTCAGATAGAGCTCTAGGTTCATGTTTGTAAAATAATACTATTACCGGTAATGAAAATAAATTTATTCTGAATTTTAAAAAAATGTAGTAATTGTAAAAAGTAATTTAAAATTACTGAATTTTGTAGGTTATTTACATTGTGTGTGATATTTAATATCATGTAAATTTTTGGGAAACAAGTCATAACTTAAAGTATCATGGAAACTTTCATATAAAATTAATTTTCCTCTTGAAAATTGCAGAAATGACTTTTCACACAGTAAAATGTGCATGAAATATTCTACAGTAATCATTATCTTATGCTTATCTATAGTAGAGTAGCTTCACAGAGTATAGATATAGTCACACCTATCATTGTCTCAGTTTTAATATAATAATGCATTAAATTGTATGTAATCAAATCAATTGAAAATTCTATTAACACAAAATGGACTCCAGAATTTATATTGTTTGAGAAGCAGTTTTATTGAACTGCCTTTATATGTGTAAGATACAAGGTACACTAGGGATGTATAAGCCTTCTGGTTTTCTGTGTATAGGGTACGATAGGGTACACTAGGGATGTATAAGAAGGCTGGTTTTCTGTGTATAGGGTACAATAGGGTACACTAGGGATGTATAAGAAGGCCGGTTAAATGTATATAGGGAACACTAGGGATGTATAAGACTGCTGGTTTTCTGTATATCAGGTACAATAGGTTACACTAGGGATGTATAAGACTGCTGGTTTTCTGTATATCAGGTACAATAGGGTACACTAGGGATGTATAAGACTGCTGATTTTCTGTATATCAGGTACAATAGGATACACTAGGGATGTATAAGATTGCTGGTTTTCTGTCAATAGGGTACACTAGGGATGTATAAGACTGCTGGTTTTCTGTCAATAGGTTACACTAGGGATGTATAAGACTGCTGGTTTTCTGTATATCAGGTACAATAGGGTACACTAGGGATGTATAAGACTGCTGGTTTTCTGTATATCAGGTACAATAGGTTACACTAGGGATGTATAAGACTGCTGGTTTTCTGTATATCAGGTACAATAGGTTACACTAGGGATGTATAAGACTGCTGGTTTTCTGTATATCAGGTACAATAGGTTACACTAGGGATGTATAAGACTGCTGGTTTTCTGTATATCAGGTACAATAGGTTACACTAGGGATGTATAAGACTGCTGGTTTTCTGTATATCAGGTACAATAGGTTACACTAGGGATGTATAAGACTGCTGGTTTTCTGTATATCAGGTACAATAGGTTACACTAGGGATGTATAAGACTGCTGGTTTTCTGTATATCAGGTACAATAGGTTACACTAGGGATGTATAAGACTGCTGGTTTTCTGTATATCAGGTACAATAGGTTACACTAGGGATGTATAAGACTGCTGGTTTTCTGTATATCAGGTACAATAGGTTACACTAGGGATGTATAAGACTGCTGGTTTTCTGTATATCAGGTACAATAGGTTACACTAGGGATGTATAAGACTGCTGGTTTTCTGTATATCAGGTACAATAGGTTACACTAGGGATGTATAAGACTGCTGGTTTTCTGTATATCAGGTACAATAGGTTACACTAGGGATGTATAAGACTGCTGGTTTTCTGTATATCAGGTACAATAGGTTACACTAGGGATGTATAAGACTGCTGGTTTTCTGTATATCAGGTACAATAGGTTACACTAGGGATGTATAAGACTGCTGGTTTTCTGTATATCAGGTACAATAGGTTACACTAGGGATGTATAAGACTGCTGGTTTTCTGTATATCAGGTACAATAGGTTACACTAGGGATGTATAAGACTGCTGGTTTTCTGTATATCAGGTACAATAGGTTACACTAGGGATGTATAAGACTGCTGGTTTTCTGTATATCAGGTACAATAGGTTACACTAGGGATGTATAAGACTGCTGGTTTTCTGTATATCAGGTACAATAGGTTACACTAGGGATGTATAAGACTGCTGGTTTTCTGTATATCAGGTACAATAGGTTACACTAGGGATGTATAAGACTGCTGGTTTTCTGTATATCAGGTACAATAGGTTACACTAGGGATGTATAAGACTGCTGGTTTTCTGTATATCAGGTACAATAGGTTACACTAGGGATGTATAAGACTGCTGGTTTTCTGTATATCAGGTACAATAGGTTACACTAGGGATGTATAAGACTGCTGGTTTTCTGTATATCAGGTACAATAGGTTACACTAGGGATGTATAAGACTGCTGGTTTTCTGTATATCAGGTACAATAGGTTACACTAGGGATGTATAAGACTGCTGGTTTTCTGTATATCAGGTACAATAGGTTACACTAGGGATGTATAAGACTGCTGGTTTTCTGTATATCAGGTACAATAGGGTACACTAGGGATGTATAAGATTGCTAGTTTTCTGTATATAGGGTACAATAGGGTACACTAGGGATGTATAAGACTGCTGGATTTCTGTATATCAGGTACAATAGGTTACACTAGGGATGTATAAGATTGCTAGTTTTCTGTATATAAGGTACAATAGGGTACACTAGGGATGTATAAGATTGCTGGTTTTCTGTGTATAGGGAACACTAGGGATGTATAAGATTTCTAGTTTTCTGTGTATAGGGTACACTAGCTATGTATAAGACTGCTGGTTTTTGTGTCGCCTGCGAAAAGCTGGTGACACATAGGTATTGCTTTGTCTGCGGAGGCGGCATCGGCGTCGTCCGAACAGAGGTTTTTGTGCGATAACTTGAGTTTCCTTGGGCCGATCAAACTCAAACTTCATGCAGTGCTTCCTTACCAAAAGTGCTTGCTTGGGATTGCTTTTCAGGTCCGAAGGTCAAAGGTCAAGGTCACTGTTACTATAAATAGAAAATCTGTTTTCGTGCGATAACTTGAGTTTCCTTGGGCCGATCAAACTCAAACTTCATGCAGTGCTTCCTTACCAAAAGTGCTTGCTTGGGATTGCTTTTCAGGTTCGATGGTCAAAGGTCAAGGTCAATTACTATAAATAGAAAATCTGTTTTCGTGCGATAACTTGAGTTTCCTTGGGCCGATCAAACTCAAACTTACTTTTAACATTATTTCTTGAAATGAAAAGTGTGTCTATATCTTCGTAATCTCCCAGCTTCCTGCGCAGGCGACACATCCACTTCCGTGGAATTCTTGTCTGTGTATAGGGAACACTAGGGATGTATAAGACTGCTGATTTTCTGTGTATAGGGAACACTAGGGATGTATAAGATTGCTTGTTTTCTGTGTATAGGGTACACTAGGGATGTATAAGATTGCTGGTTTTCTGTGTATAGGGAACACTAGGGATGTATAAGATTGCTGGTTTTCTGTGTATGGTACAATAGGGTACACTAGGGATGTATAAGATTGCTGGTTTTCTGTGTATATAGTCTAACCATTCTACGCCAAATTAAGCCGAACCTCAAACTAATTGCAAAAGAAACTTTTTATTCACTATCATAATCCATATTGTGTTGTTAAACACACATAGAAAATTATAAGATTGCTGGTTTTCTGTATAAAGGGTACACTAGGAATGAAGAATGAGAAGACAACCCGAATGCTGCTTGAGATGTTTGAATTAGATTCCAGTGACTATGTTCGCTTAATGGTATATATTTTCGTTATTCTCTGTCTTCTCTTTAAATTCAAATTCAAATTTAAAATGCAGTTTATTTGCTATGTATGTTTGTGTTTGTTTTTGTACATTTCAATCTTTTAATTTGTGTTACAATGTTAAAAATCTTACCTCAGCACAATCCATTGTTAAATATCTAAGTCATGAAATAATTAACAATGGATCTAAAATGATAATTAACACATTTACTGATGCTTTCCTACACTGTGAAATATTTTTTTGAATAAGATGATGATTCAAGCTTTCAAGCAACATTTTCATAAATATTACTATATTTTAGATTGTGCGGACATTTGTGGTATTAAAAAGTACCGACAAGAGAGTGCTGAGGGCCCTGAAGGAGAAGGAAAAGATAGATGGCCCACTTGCCAGGTATGTCAGATAACAGCGAGGTAGACATACTACTTGTATCTCCTGGCATTTTACTACAAATAAGGTTACTACCTTACATATAAAACTTTCAGTTGCAGTATACTACCTCAAACTCGAGTTCAGGTTTGGTGAGTTTTGATCCATACAAACTTGGTGTCTGAAATCGGTTTGTTAATGTTACAATTCTCTGAATTTGATTCTCTAGTAAATCATATTAAATGTCCCTGAGTAGGACTTATTTGGAGTTGTAAATCAGGATCATTGGATATGATTACTTGAGTTGTAAGCCCTACTCGGGACCATTACATCATTGGAGTACTCCGAGTAGCTGTCATTGACAAACTATTTGAAGTTTTTAACCAGTTTTGTTGATACTAGACTGATGTAAGTTTTTAATTGAAAATTTTACAGAGAAGCCAAGAAAGCCGTAAAGACACTGGAGAGTTTACGAGAGCTAGGCACGCCAATGGGTCGACGAACTATGACACCAAACCACAAGGCAGTCACACTAGCAATAAGCAATGTCATACGACCCCTGACCCAGAGTATTTAGGAAGCCTAGCCTGCTCAGTGAAGGACTAATGATATCATCAAAGCCTGGTTGTATAAATGAATCCAACAAAATATTTGAAAAAAATAGATGTAACATTTGTGCTGCTTTTTTTGTATCTAACTCAAGAAATACTGTTGAAAATGTCAGTGGATTGACACTGTTTGTGCCTTCATCTGAAAGTTACCAAATATTTAATACATCTGCTGTATATGTACATATCAGGTGTATTCTATAAACAAAACCTGTTTAATACCAAAAGCAGCAATATGCATGCATATTTTTAATGGGCGATAACTTATATTCTTAGGAACACCTGCAGTGCCAAAAACTGTGTGACCTCATTAAAATGTTATGAAACAAAAGTTCTCACTGAAATATTGAAAACATTTTATACAAAATATTGTTTCAGTAATGAATAGAATTTCCAGATAAGTTCTTGTTATTCTTTATTGATTTTATACAAAGTTTTATTTCACAAACTGTTAAATGACAGGTTTTGTCCTATTTTTCTGTGATATATATATATTTTTTATTTCATGCCCTTGTAGAGGTGTCAAGGTTAAAATGGTTTGTGATCAATAATATTGTGATAGGCAATTTTAGCCAAATTGTCCTTTGGTGACTTGAGTGTCCAGACTGTTGAAAGATGTTGTATATTTCTAAATATTTTAATAAATGTGTGGCTCACTGAAAGTAAAATGCACGTTCTGCTGAGGATTTTGTTATTTGTTTGTTTATGTTTTGTTAACATCTGTTACTGCTATTGTTTGTTAGATGTGATATTTACCACTTGATTGGTTTTCACAGATTTGAGGTTAATGAAATATTGAACTGATATTCAATCAGTCTTTACTTATTTACTCATCAAGTGATTTTGCATTTAATGAGAATCCTATCCTATCCCACTCTAATGCAGTAAGATACAGCATTGTTACATGTATTTAGTCTATTTGTTTTACTTGTTTGCCAAACATGATGTATGACTCTGTCAGATGTATATATGTAGGATAGAAATATTCCATCCGAAAGAACAGAATTTGAGACAAAAACTAAACTTGCTCAAGGTTTTGAACCTTAATTATGTTCACGAGGGTGGCATACTTTTATCCTACATAATTAACATTCTGTAGAGTTATTTTCTTACTTTACTTACCAATTTATGTGATAAAAAAAATGAAAACACCATCTCCTGACAAAAAATTAACATCATTAATATATAACTGATATTAAAATATTCTATGCGACTAGAAAGAGTGCCTCCCAGTGTGGACAGTATAGCTTCATAACAGCAATAAGTGTAGATACAATACTTGAAGTGGATAATGAAATTCAACTATAGATGTTGTATCATTGTCTATGCATTGTGACGTTATGCTTGTGTACGATAGATTTTTCTACATGACTTTCCACCATACAAAACTCTTTATCTTACATGCCTTGCTATGTAAGAATTTGCTATCCATCAGAGCAGAGCATGTAATTGGTAAAACAGAATGTGCTATCCATTAACTGGACAATAAAGCCGACAGATATCAAGATTTTGAAGAAATCAACATTATTTGTTAATATATTTGGTAAACAGACTTAGATTTACTCTAAAAATACACCAGAAATGATATCACAATCATGTCTCGTATAAAAGTAACTAACAGTATTAAATGTTCTTAAATGTTATTGTGTTTTAGTTGTTTATTTTGTGTTGGTTATCAAATTATATTTGATTCAAAATTGTTGCGATATATTTCATCTTGTTATATGAGTTTGTAAATGTACACACATGTGTTCAGGTTTAAGAATTATACTAAATGTACCAGATCTTCAATACACAGCAAATAGTCTGAACACGGAATTGACACAGGAACCCTGATCTTCAATACACAGCAAATAGTCTGAACACGGAATTGACACAGGAACCCAGATCTTCAATACACAGCAAATAGTCTGAACAC